TGAGTTGTTGTTTAAGGATCAGTTCATCATCGTGACATGAAAGACTTGTCTCGACACCATATAATCATCATGTACAAACTGTCAAGTACTTTATACTATTAAGGGTAGTTGGTGAGTTACGCTCATTTTAATTCACTGAATATTTCATTCAAATCAACAGCGCTATGCTCAAGACATTCCTCGGATTGAAAGAAATTCGAGGCATTCACAAGTGTCAGCTGAGCGAAGATCGTTGTTCCGTGGCTATTTACACGATTATAACATGATACGGTTTGTATTTTCAAACAATAAACGTAAACATGCTGCTTTTATTGTTCGGTTTACACCACTCATGTACATAGCAGCACAATAGGCTCATAATCATTTAAACTTTTAGCATTATTTTTTATACGGTGCTCTGAAAATAGAAAACGCTGATCTTTGTGTTCATTAAACATGAGAAAACAGAAATCATCCAAATTAAAACTAGAAAACGTCATCAAGTATATATATATATATGTATATATATATATATATATATATATATATATATATATATATATATATATATATATATATATATATATATATATATTTATATATATATATATATTATAAATACATAAAAGTTTATAAGTCATCAAAATATTTGAGAGGCTTTCGTTAAAGCAAATAGGATGAATGTGCAATGGACGGTAAGCATTGTTCAGCCATATATATATATATATATATATATATATATATATATATATATATATATATATATATATATATAGAAATATATATTTAATTTTAATTTTTTAAAAATTATTACAGGAAGCATAGAAAACGTTTCTACACAAAATTTCAACGTTCATATACAAGCCTCAGCATTAATTAAAAAAATAATTAGTTTTTAATCTTGTTGATTGTGTAAGGGACAGAAACTGTAAATTAATAATTACTCTTCAGTGACTCTAATATTAAAAGTTTACAAAGATATGTAATGTCATGTGGAATTTCGAACAATCCAAACGCTTTGTTTTAAATGGTTACTTTGACATCAATCTATTAACAAATACGATAATTCGTTTCATTTGAAAGATATTTGAATACGTGCGATCGCTACATCTTTATATTTTATTGCATCCACGCAGATATTTGCTATCTGCCACAATGAATGTTAGTTGGATTAGTGTACTGTAGATGACACATTGTTTTGTACAGAAAGTGAACAAGAAGGATGTCCTAAACGATTAGAACTATCAATCTGAACATCGGAAACTGTACACAACGCGCTACGTTTCTCCGATGGTAATATATTCTGTGTATTTACACTTGAAATCCCTAAACAAATCAATTTGAATTTCAATTGTGAGAAAGAATGTCATCCTCATCTGAAAATTAATTCCAAACAAAGAAGCACGTTAACGAGCTTCAAATATTCTTAAATCAGTGAATGTAAATGGGTCTGAATTTTCAGGTGAATGAGTAAAAACCTAGAAGATACTATTTATACACAGGTATGTTGTTGGCCTATAATCACATTAATTAAAATCATCACACACATTTGAATCTGAATCATTAAAAAGAATGAGGAAGAGTTCATCGGAAGAAACAGATGTTGCAGATAATTTTAAATCAAGATTCCGTTGAAAAATACGCACATGTTGATAGCACAAACATGACCGTCCTTCTTTGGGAATTGCAACATAACGTAAAGGTTGAATAACTAATAAAACTAAGGACGTAAGAACAGAATTGAACATCAAAGGTCATCAAAGGTCACGGTCGCTACATTTTCTGAATATGTCATGGTTTTTTTCGCCGGCAATTAATGAAATTTTTTTGTGACAGCAAATGGTCATGTTATGAATCATCTCTAGACTGTGAGTGGTGGGTACATTCGATTCCTTTGACGTTCAGTATTCAGAAAAGCCAGAATCACATGAATGACAGGAGATGGCTTACAGCCCTAATTTAAATGTGAGCGCAACTGTTATTGAATAATCAGATGGCGAAAGGATTCAGGTCTACGGGATAACAATAAAGTGATGAGGCGATGAACGGTATTTTCACTTTATCCTATACGATACATTTCAAAGAAGTTTCAAGTGAAATGTAGACAAACATCTGTCAAGTAATGGAGTTTGCATCATAATATTCATAAAATAATACTAATGAATAGAATGAAACACGGTTAAATTTATTGGGATATTAGGTAACGAAGAATAATCAATCATTATTGTCAGTGGTTACATGGTTTGCTGTGTGGATGACAGCGGAAGAAATAGTTGACATGAACTTGTGAAATCATCAACAGCACTATGAATTCAAATGCCGATACCAAAGTCATGTACAGTGGAGAGTAGTTTTTCGATTTGCAGTGTTCCATCAAGTAATATGAAGTGAGTGAAATCACCTGTAATCGGAAAATTAATAATGTTTAGTCTAGCAGATTAAATTTGAACGTTTCATGAATATTTGATTTAGCTACTGATATTTAGAGACCAAGTTCATATTGAACAATAATTTCATATCATTCGAACAATGGAACATCCAGTTCGTTGATAAAAGAAACAAACAAAATATCAGGTGTTTACTGTCCCCTATTAAATATTCAAGCTTTCATTTTATTACATTAAAACTAACGAAATTTCTTATTCTGATGTTTCATAAATGATTCTGTTAAACGCATTGCGTGAATGGTGCAAATGCTTTAAATTTACAATTTCCGTCTGTATTATGATATTTCGCATTGAATGATGAAGAAAGACAGTTAGGTTTGTGTAAAATAAAAGTTTAAGGAGAAACTTACAATAAACATTTCACTACACCAACAAATCAACGACAGCACTGCAAATGCAATCTGAAATAAACATTTTCATTTTAAATCATTTTGAAAAATTTAATTTTGTACTCTTTAAGCATCATACATCCGCAATTATATTGAGTGCTATGACTACAAATTTATTGAATTGTGTCAAGTCAGAGTGCAGATAATTTCATGTTCTCAATGTGAACGAAATATAACTTCAATTCTCATTCACGTTCTCGTTTTTCATTTGTCAGTTTTTTACTTGATGTCAAGCTAATACGATATGTGTATGCCAGAAACGATTGTAAGACTTCGTGACGTTTTATTGACAGGTTATTTAATATAAATGTCAGAACAAATCGAACAATAACTCCGGTTACCAATGAGTCTAAAAACTGCTGGCCCGACACGAAGTTTATAAATTGATCACTTGCATTTATTTTCGAAGGCGATTTCGGCTGGTGTGTATATCCCACACTGGTTAATAATAAGGCGACATTCATTGGTAATAAAAAGCATCAAGTCAACTAAGTCAAAGCTATTTTTACTATTTGGGAAATTGACATTTCAGTTAAGCTTACGTGATTGCAAAGAATTACGCTTGTAATAAAGAAAGCGATTCCAGCCACCAACAATAAACAACAAAGCGAAAATAACAGAGTCATCCATTTTCGTGTAGAATCTTTCAGGTTTAATCCCAATAGAATAGCGAGGATAGTAATTATAGATGCAACACCAGTAGCAATAACGCAATCCATCCAATCACCCGCTAGACTCAATAATCCAACACCGATACTAATAATGATCAACTGAAAAACGAACATTAAATGTGTTGATTCAGAATGTGCAAAATTTCAATGCAGTCGACATCGCTAAAAATAACTGATTGACATTTAGTCATGTATTGTTGTGAACCACTTCGCAGACAGTAAACAATCTAATTATTTTAGTGTATTTCAAGAGTTTTTGTGAATACTGTAATAGTGTCCGAATTCATTGAACGTATGGTTAAAGGATAATCTCGATAATGCTATGAACATGACAGATCAAATTTCGAAAGCTTACGGAAAGAGTTTCATCAGTTTGAAGCAACTTATTCCTAAGAATCAAACGATGGATTACGCATTGCTTAACTAAAAGACAAGCCAGCAAATGAATTCGTAAATAAACATTATTGAAACTGATTCATTTCAGTGCTGATGTACATCGAAATTATCAGAAATATAAAACTAGCGTTTATTGTAACGAGGTTTCGCTTAACTATTCAAACGTTGTCACATGATTTACGCCTAGTTTCTAATTTTCTCCCGTAATCTTCATTTACTTTCAACCATTTCTCGGTCACCGCTGAATATCAAATAGAATAAATTGAATTCTATTTTCAAACACGCGTATCAATAATACGGCATGTTAGAATCAAATTCGATTAGGAATTAACCTGAAGCATCAATTTCTGTGTCATATAATTGTCAGTGGTTTTCCTGCGGAATCGTGCTCATACAATTAAATGAATGCAAATCATCATTATTGAAGATGAAGACATCCATAAACAGGTAGCGACAATATATAAGTTGAAAGAATAATGTTGTACTAACCGTTAAAATAATGATGAAGTTATTCCTCGTAGACGCAGAGTGAAAATTGTTGTTGAAAATAACGATGACTGTAAATAGTAGTGCTGTGAATCTGTAACGTGTAAATGAAGTGTACAACAAAATTTAACTCAAGTGTTGAGGAAATTTACAAACATGGTAAAAAATGAGAACAGTCATCAATAAACCATTGAACATATCATTATATGTTCATCATGGAATCATGATCAATTTAGATAGAAGCATTTACTGGTAGGATACTGCAACATGATTTCATTATCAATATGTATTATAATGAATATATGAAAAAAACATTTTCAAAATTACCAGCTTTTGCGACTTACAATATTGTGAGACCAGACAAACGAACAGAATTGATCCAAAATTCATAATCGAGTCTGTTACGTGGACAGTAAATTGTTAGCTAATATTAACTGCTTACATGCACGAGGTTGGTAAGAAAATGGCGTCTTTGTTATCTGCTGCTAACAATAAATCGGAAGCCATGAATATCAAAATCGAAATGATTCGGTTTGATAAATGCGATAATTCCACGTTAACCTGATTCGGCAAAATTGTTAGATGCATAGAAACGCAGTATGTAATAAAATGTGTTACCCAAAAATATAAAAAAAATTATTCTATTATAAACACTTGTACTTTCACTGTGGAAAGTATTTTGACTGATATACATTCGAAGAGGAAGGTATTTTGACATTGCTGAATAATGTGGCGTTGTAGAAATATCAATCGAAGCCGATCACTTTGATAAATATAACTGTATTTGTGACCATAAAATTATCTATCGAACGATATTTTAAAATACCGCATTCATAAATATAATGTTGATGAATGAACTGAAACAATCAAAGCAATACTACCATAAACCAAATCATGAATCGTCAATCTCAAGTGCTATAATGATATGAAGCTCACATCATTCATTGCCAGCGTTCTCTTTATATGATTCAGTACAACCTTGTATAAATATTGTCAAACACGCCAATAACTGTATAACACAATCTGATTGATCATTGAACTTTAGACTGAATAACGGTTGATAGTTTCTATGTGAAAAAAATTAAAATAAAATCAGGTTTGAAATTCAGTAAACGTGATCAACGATGACATACGAGTACTTTGAATTGTATAAAATGAACCATCCTTATACTCACTTGAGCTCATGTAATAAAGTGCAGAATGAATATATGTAAAAATACATGCTCGAAACTTAAGATATGTTTACCGATTTCCTGATATTTCGAGTAATACATTGTTTGAAAGATTTTTCTCTTCAATTTCAACACACCGTGTTTAGTCCCTTGAACATCTTCACATGTGGTGGTGGAATATACTTAGTGTTATTAAAGGGAAAAAAAGTGTGTTTATTTAAAAAAGGTAAAGGATGAATAGAATATGTTAATTTTTCACTGACCTATCATGTTTTACGAATACATATATGATGAAGTCATGCAAAATTTGAACAGTTTTGCCAATGCATGAAAACGTAACTGCATCAAAATTATTTTGTACATTATTGACGCAACCTAGACATGTAAATTTTCAAATTCACCCTAGCAGTCGACCCTAATGAATAATCTAAAAATCAGCTTTTTAAAGAAATGTATAGAGTGAGAAAAAACAGCGGTGTATGACACGGACTTCGTGAGGAACAAACAGTGAGCGGCCATCGTTTACAACTTTTTAGTTTAATCAATTTAAAGGATTTCTTATGATGTGATTTATCTTCTCAGGTAAGCTGTGGTGTCAACCATGCCTCTAAAATGTTATTCATTTTACTCAGTTAAAATGTTTCGTTTATTCAACGTATTACTTAGAAAGAGTTAATTCTATTAGCTTGTCTTTCAAATATAGATTAGAAATATTTTGTACAGTTTACAAACAACTTCTATGAAATCATGCCTTGCTATTCTGAAATTGAGTTATCTACTAATATTTTTCGTTTAGTTTACCGATACTCAGATCAAGACTTTTCCTGATGATGAGATTATAATGATGTGCTCGTAAGCACCTCCCGTGCTGTGATATCCTTCTTCGTAATCTCGAAACAGTTCCTTACCGATATAAGATAAATGTTTTACGCGCTTACCACAGTTTTTCCTAACAACTATGTAACTGTGGTGTTCAGTCAAAACCGTTGATCTCATTTTGAAACTTAACCTCGAAATATTGATAGTAAAAGTGTCGTGATGACTTATTCATCTGTGGGACGTTCACATGTTTTGTGGAGTATGCTGAATGACGATGTGTTTCGCACTAATTGGATGGGTCTTTTCAAGTCCAAAAGGTTTTGACAGTGTTCTGAAACAGCTCGATTCATTTTCGCACTGAAGTTTCACAGAATCAAGAATTCAGTTTTCTATGATAATAGAGCCTCAACGTTAAAATACTTATTAGTTTATTATTAACATGCACATTTACTTACCAAGTGCACAGAATCAACTGACTGAACATGGCGAAGGTTCAATGCGACGTCCTACAGGATTCTGAGAAGCTCAAAGACAGCCTACATCGATAGGTTTTTGACTTTGCGCGATCTACTGAATAAAAAAAGCAATCATGTAGAAGAATCGCAACTATGAAGAAAGAGGACACTTCGACAGTTCTCAAGAGTACAGGGCAAAACAGCATTCAGAAGAACTAATCCTAATCTGTACGCACTTTATCTAAAACTCAAGAAAGATGAAACAAGTAGGCAGCATTCAACATCAGCCGAACAGTAGCAGGGAGCACAAGCAAGGCTCACGAAGTATAGAGTGTAGCAAACAAACAGGTGAAGAGGAGAATCAAAGACGACAACCGTTCACAGATGAAAGACGGCCCAAAAGACTATGAGAGAATCATGCGAAAATCTTACGATACAACAGAAAAGCTCACTGGAAACAACAGCGAACAAGCAGGATCAAGGAAATCCAATAAAAAATAACGAATAGGTGCGTGAAGCGCAGTAAGGAACTGTTAAATGGATCAGCTATACTCGAACAATCAAACTACCAATCGATGTTGACCCGTGACTTATTTTAAAGATCAGTATGCTCATAAGAACATGAAACAGGAAAAGCATCGAGGATAAATAAAGCCCCAGGAAAGGCAGCGATAGCTAACGTTATAGTTCTGGTAAGCTTCTTGTTGAAAACATTACAAAACACTTGAAAAATATTATGGATTATTTTTCCGTCAACCATTTTCAAATTTTTCAAATCAACAGCAACAAATAAATGTTATTCTATACCTTGTGGATAGATCAAATTTTTTCGAAAGATAATTTTCATTTGCATTATAATAAAAACAGCTTCCTATTCCAAAAGACTGTTTCAGTTCACAATTTTAAAACACAATTCAAGTGAATATAATCTATTCATCTAGGAAAGCCACAGAGAATAAATAATACTATTACCATGTATCAGCCTAAAAAACATAAATTTAGTTAGGAAACAAACAGTGAAAGTCATTGAAGGGAAAATTAATGCAAACTATGATAAAATAAGAATATCACAGCCAATGAAGTCGGACAGAACATTAAAGTGTACATATGAATGAATCAATGAAACGAATTACAGTTATATAAATGGAAGACTACACGTCAAGATGAATCATTCAAAAGTGTCAATTCACAGCTTTTTAAGCAAAATAAATTGGAGTCAATTGTCAGTAGCCATCAGCAACAGCCTCCTGTGAAAGCGAAAAAACCCAGAATTACTTGAAGAATTATATACGGAAAAGTCACTGAAGACGGATAATGCTCAGTGCGGAAATCAATCATCTGCTTTATAAGATATCCTCCACCATGAATTTATTTTCTTTACAGTTCTTTCTAGTTCTCTTCTTTTCATGCCTTTCTCCATATCTCAGTGTAATGCGTTATTTATCCTTCGTATTGTTCTCTGACATTGAAGGTTGCATGTGAGGGTTAGTCTTGTGACGAAGTTAGTGCTTTTTGCGTTTTGTGTCAACTTCTTTTACTTTCCTCCACATGAATCTGAATTTTTTCCTCCCACAGTGTCAGGCCAACGAATCCGAAGTATCTTGCGTAGACAAACGTTCATAAATAATTGTATCTTCTGGCTGCTGGCTTTCGTTATTTTCGAAGTTTCCTCTAGATATTGGTAATGAGAATTATTTGTTTGGATTTCCAGATATTTTTCATTCGCAGAAATTAAGCCCTTGCGTTGCCGTTCCGCACCCTCACATTTGCATCCAATTTACCTTCTTTGTCGATGATGTTGCAAATATATGTGAAGGCGTTAACTAAAACCAAGGCTTATCCATGAACAATGATTGAATTGATGCATGCTGAGTTGTATCAGGGAACCTTGCTTCTCAATTTCTAAATGTTGAGACCTACTGCTTCTCAGGCTGCTGCTAACAGCAACACGTTAAATTTATTCCAATTCATTTCTCAATCTATTTAACACAGTTTTGTTATAAATAACATTACATAGAGTCAATTAGCTAGACGTTCGTTCACGTTATAACTTTTTGGTTGGGTTAAAATTAGATTTTGACGAATAGTTGAATTTCTCAAATACTCAAATAATTGGATAGTGGAGAATAACATTGATATTACCAAATGTTTTAGTGCAATAATTCGATTTACAATAATGTAATCATGGATTTTCTCTTGAATCGACCACTATCACTGAAATACGCCACGTGCATTGAAAGTTTTCCTATTATTATTTTCTACGTCAACGGATGTTTGAATAAAATATTCAGTGGTATAGACAGTATCAGTAATACATGATGAAATATCAGGGAAAATATCACAAGTGAATAATGATGTGATTACTATCAGTCCAAGTCCTTTTGAAGTGTAACGTTTTAATTGTAACATTTTTTTATTATTCCTGAACATTTAAACTTGAATTTAAATTACGGATTAAAAATGTCTTGAGTAGGTCCAGCGTTACTTCTAGCTATCTTATCTTAACTTTTTCATGCCAATGATTTTCGAAAGTATCAAAGAATATTAAGAATACTCGATAGTACAATCATGTGAACACTAAATTTCACTCTGTCATATTCAAATGTTGATTTAAATAGGTGAGCATAACATGGGATATACTTTGTCGGAATCATTTCAAAGTACATCTTTTGAGTTAGTATACCGATAAACTGTTCATCGAAACGCAAATCTCCTTTTGATCTAATACGATGCTACTGTGGATTTCCAGGTAATAGATGAAAAAATTCAAGATATTTTTTCATCCAATACTAACACCAAATTATCGTGGTGTTACCTAAATTCAACACAAGTTGTAACTGATTACTCAACGAAGTACTCTTATGCAATATCACTTCGTGAAAATTTTACTCATTCAGATATGCGGAGTCCTTCATGCGCTTGAACCCATTATGTCATTAAAGTGATGACAAGGTAAAATTAGAAACATTATATACAGTCGATATTATATTTGTAGAGTTTCTGCGTTTTTAGAAATCTTCTGTTTAGGTTGCTTTTTATAACTTTATATCACATGAGTGACTATAGCTGTTGCTGTATCCCACATACCATTCTTCTTTACGGTATTTCAAAGTAACCGATACCTTTTGCTCCACTGCATTCAGTTAAAACGGTAATCGAATCGCAGACGATTCTAGCACAGAATACTATGTGTGATTCATTTAAACGTTTCGTGATACAAGTTATGGAGGTTGACATTGTCTGCTTTCGAAGAGCAGGGCGCAAGTGTGTAACTGGCAAAATTGAGCTGCATGCGCTGACTGAATTTTCCGAGCTTGATAAAAACGTATTCAATCAGTCATGGAGAAACGCATATATAGAACACAATATTGTTCATGGATTCGAAGTTGAAGACAGTCAATGGTATGTCAATTTTTAGAACTAGTACAGAAACAATGAAAACTCATATACTAGAAACAAGATAAATCGAACTAATAAGAGCCATCAGGCAAATGTGTTAAGATTT